CGGGGCGGGGCGCTCACCCCGGCTCTGCTGGAGCAGCAGCTGCACGTTCTGCTCGTGCTCCTTCTGCTGCAGCGTCAGCTGGCGGTCGGTCTCCAGGCGCTGCCGCTCCAGCGCCGCCTCCAGCCAGCAGACCAGCCTCTGCTGCTCCTCCAGCTGCATCTCCAGCTCGGAGAAGGCAATCTGCTGCTGGTGCTGCTCCTCTCGGAGCGCCACGGCCTGTCCCAAACCCAGACACGCTCAGCGCCCCAGCTCGTCCCCGACCGGGGCAGCAGGGGCCCGGCAAACGTGCCACCACTGCCCCGCGGCCCATGTCACTGGGAAATCACCAGGGGGCCCCGCTGAGCCGAGACTGGGCCTCAGACTCCTCGACGGTGTGCTAGGCAGTGATTTCCCAGTGACGAGAGTACGCTCTCAAGACGAAGCTTCCGTCCTGTCCCTGCCTCGAGCGGTGGGATGTCACCGTGGGCAGGATTTCTCAGCCTTGGCGCTACGGACATTGCAGGCAGAGAATGTGGCGGGGGGGGGGGGCTGTCCGGTGTGTTGTAGGAGGCCTAGCGGCGTCCCTGGTCTCCACCCCCGCTGCGGTGAGGACCAGAAGTGGCTCCAGACATGGCCACATGTCCCCTGGGGGCAAAACCCTCCTGTTGAGAACCACTGACCTGGGGACACCGAAGGGGCCAATCGACCAGGGGAAAGGGGTGGGGAGAGGACTGGGGCTTACTTTCACTAAGAAAGGTTTTTAAAAAGGAGAGTCTGGGGCAGCCCTGGAGACTGGAGTTAGCCCCGATTCTGTCCCCGCACCTGGGGGGAAACAGGGCCTTCTCTGCAGCTGCCAAAAGGACCCCCACCCCCGGCAAGCGCCAGAAGGCGGCGGCCGGGGGCCTGGGAGCCACTGACCCACCTTGTCAAAATACTTGCAGAGTAGGGCTCTGGTCTCCGAGGACGAGAGGTAGCTGAGCTTGGCCATGAGGTTCATCTCACACTGGGACAGCAAGGAGGCCGAAGCCCGCAGCACCCGCTGGCGGCACGTGATGGCCTCGTTCTTGTACTCGATGGCCGCATCCAGGGCCTCGATGGCCTCGTCCAGCTGGAACAGCGTCCGTTCCTCCTGCGGGCCACGGGCATATGTGGACGGGGAGGCCCAGCTTCCCGCGCCCACTCCCGGAACGACAGCCCCGGGCAGACAGGGCCAGCCCTCGGCCATGAGGGAGACATCGTGTCCCCTCGTCCTGAGCAGGCAGTCAGCACGTCAGGAGCAGGGTCCCTGCCCGCTATGACAGGGGACAGGCAGTTTCCATCACAGACCCGACCCCAGGGGGAGGCCAGGGCTCTGAGAGGCTGCTTTCGGCAGCGCCTCTCCCGTGATCTATGGCAGGGAGCACAGAACACTCTATGCCAAAGGGAAGGCATGGCGGGACTGCCACAGAGGCCACGGAGGCCACGGAGGCCACGGAGGGTCTGCGGGGGTGAGGTGACTGCAACGAGGCTCTCCCTGCTGCTTGGGACTGGCCACGGGGTGCGGGGATGTGCTGCTGACACTCATTCCCACCTGGGGGGCCCAGGCGTGGGACACGCGGGCTGACACCGTGCAGGACGCGGGGGGGGGGGGCACCCAGGCTCCCCCTGGGCAAGAACCTCGAGGCCCCAGCCCGGGTGTCCCAGCCACGGGGGCCAGAGCCCGCGGCAGGGCCAGGCCAGCATGTCCCTGGCCGCCAGCCCCTTCTCTGGGTCTCACGGGCGGGAAAAGCACATTCGGGAAGCAGCAGGGCTTACCTCGGGCGACAGCAGGCTGCCCCGCCTCAGCTTGCCGTCAATGTCCAGGCGCTGCTTCAGCAGTGAGTCCTTCTCCTGGCGCAGGGCGTCGATCTCCCCGCGCAGCCGCTGCTGGCTCTGGGCGCTGCCCTGCCGCAGCTGCCCGCTCTTCTCCGACAGCTCCTTCTCCAGGTGCTCCAGCCGGCTGGACACTCGCACGATGTCCTCGCTGAGGGCCTGGGGGCGGCACCGCCAGGGGTCAGGGAGGGAGCAGACCCCGCCCGCACAGGGCTGACGCCAAGGAGGCTGCGGGCCCTTCCCTCCAGAGGCCCCCTGGCGGGGCCCCCCTCCCGCATGCGGGGGGCCTCACCTGGCTGGACCGCAGGCGCTTGCTCTCCAGCCCCGTCTTCTCCTGCAGCAGGGCCTCCTTCTTGGCCAGGATGGCCTCCCGCTTGTGCAGCTCCTCCCCCAGCTCCTCCAGGGCCCGCCGCTGCTGCAGGACCTTCTCCATCTCCTGATCCAGCCACTTCTTCTGCTCCTCGATCTTCTAGCGGAGGGTGGGGGAGGCGGGGACGGAACTCAGCTCCTGCCCCGGG